GAGCTTGTAGGACAAATGAGGGATGATTAACGATGACTGTGCTCATATACACTCTGTGATGGGCAGAGTGTTGGTAGAGGAAGCTAGAGTTAGTCCTTAGAGAAGGATTCCAGAAAGTTTCTCAGTTAGTACAATCTGATTAAGCTGCTTCAAAGCATGGTGCGGTACGTACGAAGAAGTACATCAGATAGGATGGCATAGAGGAAGCTCTGTTATCGTAAAAGTTCTTGCGAAAGTGATACAGAGGTATATGCATAGTTTAAAAGGCAAGGATAAATGTGGCTAGCTTAGTTCGCATTGGAAACCTACGGTAGTATAGAAGATGGGAACTATTCAGAGAATAGTAAATACATGTAGGTTAAGTACTGAATGTCTAGTAATGCTTAAGAGCCACGAAATTCCATCACTCTCATTCGCCTGCTTCCTGTATTTGTTTATTGAAAGCCGATGGATTCCAAGTAAGCGCTTTGGCGAAGCAATTGGTAGAGCAGATGAATTGCATTGATTTCAATTCATATCGATATAGAGTAAGTGCTTTTTAGTTCTCAAATAAGCTTTGCTATACATATGCTCGGCTCACAGTGAACTCTCACAGTGATAGGAGAAAAGGTGCTATATAAGTTTTTAACGACTCTAGTTTTGAGACATCGGCAGTAGTAAAATCAGCATCGGACATCATCCATTATCACAAAGGAAGGATGGTCCCCATAGTCGATCACAAGTTCAGTTACCATTGGCCCCTAAGCTGTTCTTCTTCTTTTCCGTTCAGTTCTGTCCTCTGTTTTTCTACACTTATATTCCTAATATGGAGGCAATTTTTGAGCTTAAGCTGCAGCAAGGTCACTAGAATCTGAACAAGTTGTACTTGCATACCGACCTTGAACATTTCTGGAGAAAGTGCGTAGCATCCTTTACCTTCTAACCATTGAAAAACTCTAGTAAGGGATTTTATAGACGACCATAATAGTTTGACGCAGTAAAAGGGGACTCTTCATTGCGACAACGCCATCTGGCAAGGGACGTGCTCAAGATAGCATCCAGAGTAGAGTAAAAGTCTGATAAACCGTTTTCCAAATCACTTGCCTTCATTCGCTTTTCTTTCCACAGAAGACTGTTCCGCTTTCAGCTGTTAAGCGAGAGCATTTGATAAATAAAAAGGGTTTGCATAATGATTACACCAGGGGTTTGTATGTGAACTCTTTCGATTGTATTGTCGTCGACGCTTACTGGTTGTAAAGTGAGGTGTCGCCGCAGTTGTTTAGGATTTTGTTTAAAAAGCTAACAATTACCAAGACTATTATACCTTCCTGTTCGTTTTTGTATTAAGGGATAAAGGATAAAGTTTTTGGCATCGGTGAGTCACTGAGGGATGCCCCGTGCATTCGGCTTCAGTAGGCATCGTTGGGAGTGATTGAATGCATATCTGTCCTTTACAATGATTCGCTCTGGTCTACCGATGTATCGAGCCAGTGCTGCTATCCTTCCAGACACCCAGACAAGATTCCTATCAATTTGCCAACCCTGTAGGAATGAAAGGCCTGGTGGGCTATGAGCCCGGGGACCGATCCTATGGGTAGCGCAGGGCGCCTCCAACCACTGCGCTACACGTGCTCCTTATTTCTGTATTATAGCTATTAATGCAGTGAACCTGTCCTATTTATGGTTGTCTGCGCTCTATCTGTTTCTTCCATTGTTTGACCTGTTTATTTATTACTGTTGGCATGTTTTTAAGGATGTTCTGCCGAGCAAGGACGTCGTGTTCAGTACGTTTGCACTCAACTCTAGCTGAGAAGCTACGCGCCGCAGTATCTGAAGATCTTCCAAGAAAGCCAAGGAGCGAAACCAGTAGTCAAGTGGCAATTGAGCCTCAGGTTAGGCTTTCTGTTTTCATGACAGTTGACTTTTTGGAACGATTTTTTCGGTTTTCGATCGATTATAGATGATAACAACTGAGGTCACTCATATGAGGGATCCCGAGCCGGTTTGTCGCAAGGCTACGTGGCGCGTCCCCAGGTGCGGCGTGCGGGGTAGGGGGTTAGTGGCGGACCAAAAAAGACCTTTGCTTCCCTGAGACGCAAGCGGTTCCAGGGGATGGATTCTTTGTTTCTGTTACGCCGATTTGGCACATGCTTCATGTATTTACGAGGCGTATTTTTGCACGCGTGTGTGGGTGCACTCTAGTTTTTGCGGACTATATTCTAAGAGTGGATTCAGCCAAAAGCTTGCAATCAAGTGACAGGGAAGTATGTGAGAGGCAACTAGAGGTCGCCTGCAACAAATAAGTCCTATGTCCACTCTCGGAGAGCCTGGCAAGCTACCCGTGTGTATACCCAGCACCCACGTTCAGAGCCGAAAAAGCCATACGTGGCTATCAATTGCTAAACACAGTGAAAGAAACGGGCCTCATTCCTCTGACCCTGAAAGAGCTCTAATTCGGCGGCGTTGGGTAGGGCGAGTACGGAGAAGCTGCTAAAATCTCAGGGCCGGTGGGAGCTGCCTGGATTGCAAAGAACTAGGGTAGCGATCTGTACCTACAATGCACGTACACTTGCATCCGAGTTTCGATAGAAGACATGATTATGCAAGCGAGAAAGATGAGGCACGACGTCATCGACCTGGCCGAGACGACACCCATTCAACGCCGTCTGTGACACCGGGGAAACACTCTTCCTGGGAAAATACGACAGTAGAGGAGTCGGTGTTATCCTCAGCACCAGTTTATCTATGGACATCGATTCATCGAGCAATTTACAACTCGAATCGGACGTTTACGATTAACAAGATGTGGATCAATACCGGCCTTGATAATCTTCGTCATTTACGCGCCTAAATCAAACTAGACCAAAAAGAAGTCGAGGCGTTCTATGTGAACTTGGAGTTCTACAGAGAACACCACCCATTCTTCAAGGTCATCATTGGAGATTTCAACGCTAAGATTGGACCAAGAAGAACGTCACATTTGGACCCACGGATAGAATGGAACAAACAGGGTGAGCGGCTTTCAGAGTTTATCATGACGACCAAGACCATCCGTGGTAACTCGCATTTCCAGAAGCCCCACCTTCAACGCTGGACGTAGAGTCTCCCAGTGAAGAGTACCATAACGAAATAGACCACATCATAGTAAACCGGTTTTCCCTAACCGATGTCGCCGTTGTCTCAAAATTCCACACAGGGTCGGACCATCGCGTCCTTCGTGCAACATTCTACTTCTCACGAAAAGGAGAAAAAGCCGCTAAATTCCAAAACCGAAGTCCCAGAACCACCGTAAACTGGGGCTTATTCAATTCATTAGTCTGCTGTTGGGAACACGCCGTTGTCGATAACATCGACGAAGAATACGATCGGCTCATTCAACATCTTCGCGCTGGCGCTATGAAAGCTCAGAGTTCGAAAGTCACCAAGAGACGTTTGTCTCCAGAAACACTCGAGCTGATACGCCAGTGTGGAATCGCACGAGCTTCAGGCAACCGCAAACTAACGTCCGAACTTGCCAAATAATCCAAACAAGCGGTAAAAGAAGATGTTAAAGAGAGAAGAGCATCAGTAATGGTCGAAGCTGTAGAGGCTGGGAAAAGCATTCGCAAAGCCAACCGAAGCTTTTCCAATTACAAGACCAAGATGAATGCACTCCGACGTACACATGAAGCAGTTACACCGTCCAGAAAGGCAGTGGAGAAAATCATTCACGAATACTACTCAAACCTCTTCGATAGCCACGTCCACCTTCCGTCATATGAAATAAAGGAGGATGGATATGTTCTACCAACGGTTCTCTCTTCGGTAGTCCTACGTGCCATTTCGTCGTTGAAAAATCGGACAGCTCCAGGTACGGACAGGATAAGACGTGAATACCTGGGGAACCTTCCGCCAGTCCTCATAAACACACTGGCTCGGCTCTTCACACCTTACCTATTGGAATGGAAGATCTCTACTCAGTGGAAGACTAGCAAGACCGTGTTAATGTTCGGGAAGGGTGACCACGATATCAGCAACTATCGCCCAGTCTACTTGCTATCTGTTGTCTGCTAACTTTTCACGTGGGTCGTCCTAAACAGGATTGACAGAACACTGAACGAAGGGCAGCCATTTGAGCAAGCAGGGTTTTGAGAAGGATTTAGTAGAATGGACCACATCCACACGATAACCTGGTTCATTGAAATATCGCAAGAGTACAAAAGACCGCTCTCTCCCACTTCCATCGATTTAAAGAAAACCTTTGACTCAATTGAGATAGAAGCGGTCATGGAAGCCCTTGATAGTCAGGGAGCCGCTAGTTTGTACATAAAGATTCTTCGTGAGTTGTACAAAAGTTTCACAAGCAAGATATCGTCTTTCTACACCGATATTAACATCGACGTCAAAAGAGGAGTTAGGCACGGCCATACGATCTTGCCAAAGTTATTCACCGCCACCCTCGAGAACGTCATGCGAACATTGGAATGGAACAACATGGGAGTGAAAATCGATGGTCGACAATTACACCATCTTCGCTTTGCTGATAACATCGTTCTTATGAAACCAAACAATAGCCAAGCGGAAGGTATGCTTGCCGACTTATAAAGCCTTTGGGAAGGTTGGTCTTCGATCAGGTCTCACAGAAACGATGTTCATGAGGAACGGATTGGTTTCGTATAGCCCATTCACGCTCAACAGGATGCATATCTCCGAATGCTCCAGTTTTGTATATCTAGGTTGGATAATCAGCATGATAAACGACTTAGCTCCAGAGTTGAGCATAATGAAACGAACGGCTTGGGAGCTTTCAAAAGCGTCGAGGATGTAGTGAGGAAAACAAAGAACACCCGACTCCGTGCCCACCTTTTCGACTCGACGGTACTTCCTGCCATAACGTACGCGTCAGAAACCTGGTCACTGCGTAAACATGATGAAAAATCAATTAGCGTTATTGAACGCGCAGTCGAAAGGACGGTGCTAGAAGAATCCCATGTCACGCAAATAAGAGGAGGGATCCGAAATTCCGGTCTACGTCAACGGTGAAAAATCAAGGCTGCCATTGTATACGCCAAGCAGTCGAAGATAAGGCGGACCGGACACGTAATGCGTATGGGTGAAAATCAATGGACATGAGCCTTTGGTGACTGGATTCCTCGGGATGTTAAATGCACTGCAGAAGACCATCGGCTCGATGGTCAGAGTTCTTCATGAAGAGCCTAAAAGAAAGATATGATGCTCAGCGAGTCCCTAGAGTGAGCACTGGGCTACTCTTGCATGCGACAGAGGAAAATGGAAGGTTTACTGCCGCCCACTCGATTCACTGGACGATCAGCGGGACTACAGGTGATAGACGATGTATCAGTTTATTTCATGTTAAAGTTAGTTCCCTTAGTAAATTGTAATGATGACGAAGAATTTATAATGACTTTGATGTAGTCCGTAAATTCAGAAGTTATGCCCATTAGTTAAGATAGATAACTCCTTTAGTTCAGAGTACGAAGTTCAATGAGATGTTCGTTATGCCGAAACGTAAGCTTCGTGGACAACTTATGGTTCGTTTGTGACCGGTTTCCGATGTTTATTTCAGTTTACTACTTTTTCTGCTCTTAAGATAGAACAAGCAACCGGCCGGGCTAGTGTACCTGAACGTAGCCGTCCTGATATCCATGACCGTCTTGCAGTGCGCAGACCAAGGAGTGAGGAAATGACTGTTGATCAAGTGGGCTGTCTTTCCTATTGGTTTCTAGTTTTTTTTAGCTTATAAACTGCTTTTTCTTTTATATACTTCTTTTATATCCTTATGTCTGTACTCTCTTTCTTGCTCCATTGCAAATTTTATAGGATTGGACCGCAGTTTGGCCAGCCGCAAGGTCGTTTGCTTCATCAGTGGTACCGCTCCCAATTCGAATGGGATCTCGTCCTGACCCTGAGAAAAGGGCGCCTTTTAAAAAGCAAGTGTGTTCCCTTCCACAGATCACTTTCCATCTTTCATTCGATGTTCTATAGCTTGGTGCAAAAGTAATGGTGGTTTCGGACCGTGAGTTTTACATTATTGTAACTGTGCTACAACAAACTTTATTAAAAGACTACAGTCTAAACACTTTGCCCAATGAGATACAAATTTATTTATTCCACTAAGATGAAATTGTGAAGTTTTGGGAGTGACACATTAGTATTTTTAGAAGCGGCTTAATCATTAAAAATTTTCTCAGCTAGTAATAGTAGAGATGCTTGAAAGAAGTGGTTAATAGTGGAGATACTTGAAGAAAGAGGTAGTTGGTTATTGAGTGGTCTGGTGACTATAGTGGATGACGCAAGCTGTCGTAACCCAAATTCGTCCAACTTCTACGGCCTTATTTGTGCAGAATTCAAGAGCGTTATCATGCAAGTGTATTGGACTTTTTCTTTTGGTCACACCTGGGTGAGTACGCTGAAATTTCATGCTGTCATCGATTTCGGAACACTATTATTTGCTGTTATAGTCTGACTGATACAGAAGACGTTATTATAGGAATACTGCTGCGTAAAACGAAAAGTCATTGAAAAATTCTCTTGGTACAAAGAGTACTCTGGAAATTGCTTCAGGGCTTCATCTAGGTCTATTCATTGAACTAAATGTCGTTGGTTGTCGTAGAGGATCCACATTGATCGTATGTGAGAATGTAGTCAACAAGTGGGTTTTTTCTATGTAGAAGAAACGCACTTCTTGATGACAATCTTACTTCCAATCGGCATTTTCACTTTTTAATGGTTTGCAAACGGCGAATAATTGTGGAATCATGACCGTTGGATTCTTCAACAGCTGTTCAAGTTCTTTTTGGAGGTGCACCTTGAATTATTGGCTTTTTTAATAGCAGATGTCAACTGCTGGTAGGCGTCTACGGCCTCCTCCCTCAATCATGAAAACTTACATCTCTGGTGCACCTGCGTACCGGTCTTTCAGAAGTCCATTTCTGGCCTATGGTTTGACGAAATCTCGGATTACTACCGTTCCTGTATGTCCAGCTTTGAACTCATGGAGCAAAACGATGGGATTTTCACGTATTTAAAGCATGTTCTAAACGGGTCTAAAATCGTTGTGAACTAGGTGTCAAAAAATCATATGGCAGTTAGTTGAACAACAGTTAATCATTGAAACGGTGTAGTAACGAAAGGATAAAGCTCTCGGCGTTGATCAATCGCTTAGGGATGCACAATGTATTCGACTTCATTAAACATCGTTGGGATTTGATTGAATGCCTATTTGGCCTTTACAATGACTCGCGGTGGCCTACCGATGTATCGAGCCAGTGTTGCTAGCCCCCAGACAAGTCTGGTACCAATTTGCCGACTCCGGATAGATGGAACGATCGGTAAGTCTTGGGCGCAGTGATCGATCCCATGTCTACTGCAGGACTCCTCTGACCACTGCGTTACACACGCCCATTGAAGTGTACAACAATGATATAAGTAAACAGTAATCAGCATAAAGTGTACTTATAATTTTCATGTTGACTGAATTCACCATTATATTTGCACCAACATAATAATATTTCTTAAAGCAGTAAATTTTCTATTTAGGGTAATCTTGAGTTAGTAAAGATACCCAATTTTCTTCATCTTACTCCTGCTGCTATTGAAAAACATTGCAATGCAATCCGAAGTCAGTTCATTTGCACATGTGTTAAATTTTCTCTTTATGCAACATTGAGGAAGAGCTTTTTAGAATTTTGCACGGAGTTTCCAGTGGAGCTAATCAAGGACGAAAACTTAGCAGATTCCGAATTTCCTTTAAGGATCAGCTATAATAGTTATGTCCATCAAGGGACTAACATAAGGGATAACCGCGCTCGTGTTATCACCTTGCAGGTTTGCGATGGTGCTAAAGAGTGAAGGATAAAATATCCGGCATTAATCTATCCGTCCGCAGTGCCTGATGCATTAGACTCCTTAATGCACACTAGAGGTGGTTGAACGCACTTAGTGATGGTAATGATTTGTGAAGCCATACCAATATACTATCTTTTTCCTTTTCTCGCGCCACCGACCGTTTATAGTGATAGCCTACTTCAATTATTTTGATCTCGAAAAGGACCATTTCGTGGGCTTTAAATCATATCTGAATGCGAATGGAGCTGTTTGACGATAGCCACAAGGAATCTGCCTACTTTATAGGTAGGTGGTCGTCCTTGAGCAAACGTACGTCATAGAGTTCTTCTTTAATCTTCTCATCGCTTGACTCTTTATTTATGTCCTGCTTTCGATGTTTGCTTCTTAGCGTCTCCGAGATTAGGTACCTTCGAAGGCTTTAATGCGCAGTCTTTCTACACCTTTTGTGCAGTGTTTGCCCTTCCGAATACATTTTCCATTTGTGGTATTCAAGATTTCGACTTGGTACTCTAGAATATTCAGCGTGTAGTATGGCTAAATAAGGAACCATCATTTATATGTGTTTACTTTCCTACAAGAGGTTTTTCATGAACTGACTTTTCTCCTGATTTATGCGTAATCTAGTGCTTTTTCCATTTAAGCTCATTGATCATTTTCACCTCCCAACGGTTTACCGCCTCATAGTGACTGGGAGTTGTTCCTGGATGTCGGACTGCGATGTACAGCAGGGGATTCGTCCCACCGGCAGAGTCTCCCAAGCTGAGAAGGAGTGCGGCGTTTCAATCAGGAAGCCTAGCTAGGAGTAAACCAATACCAGGATCCATCATTGTTGTGATATCAAAGTCGCATGGTGGCAAATCTCCCTCTGATCCACAAGGGCGACGGCTGTATGTGGTTGTGACGACCCGAGGCAGACATTGGCTAGACTGACGACACTCCAGAAAACCACAATGGCTAAACCAGCAAAACTCCGAAAAAATGGAAATTTTGCTGGGACTCGCACAACTAGTGAAGACGGGTCATCCAAATATCCAAGTAGTATGTTTGTAGCCACTCTCTAGCCAATATTTATCAACCAGTATAACCAATATTCGTAAATTTGTTTCCTTCATGCAACATTAATTTTGATAGCTTAGGTCAAACTCTCGGCGCTACAATTATCAGATTTCTCCAGAGATAAACTTATCCGTCTTGCCTCCAGTCGATACGATGAAAAGACAGATACACTTACTGTTATTACTGATAGGTTTGTCGTCTTTTTCTCTTTAGCTTATCTCATCCAGAAAGTAGTACTATGAATTGTTAAGGTGCCATACACGCAAACAGAATCTGGATTATGCGTTCTACTTGCTCACAGCAATATACCACGAAGCTAATGTATGAGTCAGCTTGACTATTTGGCTTTCATTTTCTACATTTGCAAAACGATAGTTTTATTGCAGAAAGTAGAACCATGGGAATCACTGAAGCAACGTGAAGATAATCTTAAGGTTGAGTTCGAGGGTTCAGCGACTCAAGCGAAATTATTCTCTCTTCTGAAGCAAGTGGCCTCTCATAACAAATTTGTGGGTCATACTTTCTTCTCGATCATGCTTGCTCTTCATTATATAGGTTGATGCAAAATGTATGGATGATTTTCAGCCACTGTTTTAAAAAGCTTCAACTCGACTCGAGCTTACTTCATTACTTAGAATAAGTGCTATTAGAATCTATACATCCTTTCTATCAAAGTACAAGCTTACCTGTTTGGTAACTTGGAATCTTGGATAGTCTTGATGCGCCGAATAATTCTAAATGCTTGAAGGAAGTTGAAATTGATTAACGAAAGGTCCAATAAATATATTGAGTGAAGAAAAACTTTATGGCAGAACATGTGCAACTTCTAAACCGTTTTGTAGAATGATGTCGCGTGAGGAAATTGTACCTTACCTGTTGCCCATATCTCGATACATACGCTGCAGTTTTTGTAAAGTTTCACCGATTTTGGAGCACTACTTTTGTGATTTACGTTTTGCTAAGATTCTGGTTGGTTTATTCGGTTACTCAATTTGCCGAGAACGAGGTATTCTTTGCAAATTCGGTTTGGGAAAAATGTTGTGCAACCTTTTACCATTTAAGCCACTCTGCTGAAAGACATCTGTTGTCATGTAGGGTTCAATTTCCATCATGACTGTTGAAGCGCAGATTGAGTCGTTTTATGTTGCGTAAAGGAAGTGCAGAACAAACCATCTGTTGGCGATCTTGTTGTCGTTCTTTCAATTCACGCGCCAGGCATTCACCGACATTTTCCTGTTGTCAGTTTTCTTCGGAGTTATGAGTAATTGTTAATGTTGAAATTTACAGAAGACATATTAAGAGCCTGTTTTAAACCGGCCCATAACTATTGTAACTTAATCTTTAGAAAGGGTGTAAGGCATTTCTTGACTAATAAGTAAGATTTTAATTTGCTGAAAGAAGAAATTACTACAAATGTGTAGTTGTAAATTTCATGATGACAAAACTCGCCACTTTTTTTTACACAAGGCGGTGCATATGTTAGAGTTCTCTACCATAGTCGTATCTTATTTGCATTATGTTCCAGAATTCACCTGTGAAGAACCTCGGCATGTCAGCCTCAGATGAGCAGCTCTCAAGTGACCCAAATGTAAAACAGTTTGCTGACATGTGGAATAGTTACTTAAACACGGTTCGTTTATCAGTGATGCCACAATTCACTGTCAGTTGATTTCTCGATTCGTAGGAAGAGACGCCTGAATCAACCCGAAAATATGCAATGGGCATCAAATCACTTCTTGGATTGACGTCACCTTCTGGGTCTTGTGTATGACCAGGCACGACCAGCGCGGTGATTTCTTTGTAGACAGTATTGTTTACCTCGTCTTTGATTTTCCTAGAGAATTACATAGGCTCTCCCTCGTTGGTTGGTTCATTTGTTAAAGTCGTGAAAATGTACCATAGAACCGTTTATTGTACTTCTTTGCTTTCAATGAACTGGTACCATCAATGTTTACTACAAAGCAGTAAACACGTATTCATCGTCATCCGGTAATTATTAGCCAAATCTAACCGATATGCAGTTTCTAATAATCATCTTTCTACTGTCACTGTCTTACTGTCTGGTCACAGAACAGTCACGTAACAATTATTATTGAAGTCCATATTTGTAAATTAACACTTTTAAAGGTTCAACACATAGCGCTTAAACAGCTTACAACATGGATCTTATCAAATAACTCCTGTCTATACGGATCATAAATATAATGCTAAGCAATAAGTAACAAGAACAACAACAGTAGATTTATAGGATTTCAGAAATCTAAGGTATACACCTCTACTTAGATAATTTGTAGAGTAGTATGCCTGTTGGAATAAAGAGATTTTCCACAAAATTGGAATTCGACGAGACCCACAACGCAGACTCTAGCAGGGATAAATTATTTTGAAGTCTCTTTTCCATATTACGAGATGAGTATTCATCAGCAGTCAATATGTGTGACTATGAGGTGGACTGCACGACTACCAACCCGTCTCATCTCCTATTTTCAGCAAATCTTTGCGATGTAAAGTATTCACTGAACAAAACAATTGTGTGGTGCGATTTCAGTTACCTGTATAATGACGTAAGACTCTCCGAATGGAAGGACGTCACGTGATGGAATAATGCGAAATGGACCCAGAAGTTTAGTCATTGACCTGGAAGCCATTACCATCACTACAAAACTTTAGTGGGATAATGAGTTCGATAGGGTACTACTTAGCTAAGTGTTGTTCAGGCACTAGATTGTTCCTTTTCTCATTATACAGGTTAATCGCTCTGATACTTGGTAACAATGATGGCGAAGTCGGACGCGGAGCTGGGAGTCTTTCCGCAAGACTTAATAAAGCAACAAGTTATTAACGTTCTTGGAAATGATGAAGAAATTGCACGTAGATGATGGCTACTTACATGACTAGCTTTCTGACAGGCCTGAACACGAACGTCCTGCATTCAGGAATCAGCCCCATAATCTGTTATGTATATATGGCATTAAAATAAAATTCACATTATACGACACTGCTACTGCTCGATACATTAATATTTAATAAATGAAGAGTGTATGTCCTCTACACAAATAGATGATGGTGCAAACCTGCAAGATGAAGCACCACTCGGGAGCTCTTCTCTAGTTGGGTCATGGTCAAAAGGCTCTACCACCTTAGTTCTGGACCTGAAAGATATCCTGAAGAAATAGTAAACAAGCAGAAAAAGATGATACGGGGCACTGGTCCACTTGGTTTGTTGGCTTCTAAAGCAGCTTTTCGTATTATTTCAAAAGTATACCCTTTTCCAAAAAAGAAGAAAAGATTACGCTAAACCGAAAATTAACCAACTTGGCGAAGTAGTATCCCGTAAACAGCTGGTTTCTAATTGTATAGTAAAGCTCCCTGGAAAGCACTTGAACATCAGCATGTGGTGAGCCCGTGAAGAACGTTAACGATGAAGGTTCACGTTGGAATTTGCGTCTCTGCAGGATTAGATCAAGTGAAATTGACGAATTAGACCGTACACAAATATAAAGTCAAGGAAAACTGTCAATATGTTGAGAAAAGGCTGGCTTTCAACATACTTGATTCAGCATTCTTATGAGGAAACTCTATATACCCAAAGGTACTTCCTTCCGCTTTTCCTTTTCCCTTGAAAAAATTTTTATTACTTAATTGGATACTAGGATGGGCCGTCCTCTTTGGTTTTGTGAGTCCCAGCATAATTTCCATTCCTTTGGAGTTCTGCTGGAGGAGGTTAAGCCGTTGTAGTTCCCTAGAGTCCTGAGGTCAGCTAGTCTCTCAGCTAGTTCTATCGATCACCCGTCAACGGAATTGACCTGGGGAACCGAAATCGGCATTGAACCCGGTTAACCTGAGACAGGCGAAACTAAGGACCTGCATGGTGTGGTGGTGAACGCTTTACTCCCCGGAAAGGACAATAGCGTGTTCGTTCCCCACCGTAGACACCTGCGGTCCGGAGTTTTGCAAATATCTCCGCCTTATAGAACTTACCACGCTGTTAAGAATTTATGACCAGAATCTTCTCAGCACTAAAACTTCATGTGGATATAAACAGTACGAGGGTTTCCACAGACGTGAACAACTGAGCGAAAGAGCGAAGTATCACCCAAGCACTTATTGCACTTGGTTGGAAAATAGGTTGCAGACAATCGTTTCCTGTCCATTTTTCGAATTCCCAGCACAAACTGGCGCGTTTGGCGCATTGGTCGAAAACGCTCCGTAATACATTTGGGATCGATCATCTAGCCAAAGGCTCACCAAGCCCTCCATCCCTCAGGGGTCGGTAGATTGGTACTAGACTTGTCTGGAAGGATAGCAGCGCTGGGTCGATACATCGGTAGGCCACCGCGAGTGATTGTAAAGGCCAGATATGCATTCAATCACCTCCAACGATATTTAATGTAGTCGAATGCCCGGCGCATCCCTCAGAGTTTGATCAACGTTGCGAGTTTTATCCACCACAAACATAAGACATAGAAGTAGAGTGTGACATCAGTAAATAATGTCGTATTTGCACTTTACTGACCTGATTTCATAGCCCATCCATTACTTAACACAAGAGACGATGGACGAATTGAATACACTGAAGAGGTAGAGTTCTGTGGTGAAGAAAGGAGGCGACTTCTAAATATACGCACCAAAACAAGAGACTCTCCGCACCTCCTGCAGGTCCGACGGTACAGGTGGCACGTTGATCTACACTTTGCCGAACATGAGGTCACTACGTCGTCAGTCGAAAGTCGAGAGTAGGTGAGTTGTTCGGAAAAAGTCTGGTGTCTGTGAACTTCTTCTCAACAGTGCTTAACCTCGCTCCTGAAATCGAAGTGGACTGTATCATTGTGATCCTCCTTTTTATGCGATTGCGGGACCTCCATCTCACTACAGAACATTGTAAAGCGCGTAATTCACAGATTACGTCTACGCAGAGGTGTCCATTCTTGTCAAAAGTTGTGTAGCTTACAAAGATGTTAGTGTGAGAGGACAAATGACGAGGGATGGCAAAGGCGGCATCCAAGGCGTCCTCAGAAGGCAAATTGCCATGCTAAGAGGAGTGGCTAGATCTGAGCGAGTGGCGTGGGTCGCAGGGTCACGGCACGAGTCGCAAAGTCTAGCCCCCAAGCAATGAGTCGTGCCTGATGGAATGCTCGGTGGTGTGTCTGACGGTTATACTTCCCGTACCTACTGGCGTACCCGATGGGTAGGATGAGATGTGAATATAGGGCACTATAGGGCACTCTCCACTATCAGAAGACATATAAAGTTACTTACTATAGAAGGATAAAGGATAAAGCTCTCTGCGTTGATCAATCCCATAGGGATGCCCAATGTTTTCGACCTCACTAAGCATCGTTTGGAGATGACTGAATGCATATCTGGCCTTTACAAAGACTCGCGATGGCGTACCGATGTATCGAGCCAGTGCTGCAATCCTCCCAGACAAGTGTGGTACCAACTTGCCGACCTCAGAGGGATGGAAGGATTGGTGGGCCATGGGCGCGGGGATCGATTCCACGTGTGTGGTGCGGTACAGGACGCTTCCAGCCACTGCACCACACGCGCCCTTTGAAGTTACTATAGGGAATATTATTTTCTACTAAATGATCTTTATTGGTGGATTTGTCGACAGTTAGGGGGATTTCCACTTGTACATGTGTATCTCCCAATCGATTAGTGTAAGCCTCAAGGACAGTTGTCTCATTAACTTTACTTTTTTTCATTATTGGATGACCTAACGTTACATATATCACGATGTGCAGACTTCAGCACTGACATTCGGTTCGCTCCGTAGCACTCACCTTGGGTTTGGTAGGCTGTTGCATAAGGATTTTTCTGGCCGAATCTAATAGATATAGTAATGGGAATGACTAAGAGTTAGATTTTTGAAGGTGTTTGCCTCTGATTACTCAGAGGTGTCAATATCCACTCCTTACTTTGTAAACGGCAAATCCGGATAGGCTCAGCAGAGTAACACAATCTGTCTACACGAAAATCGAAACACGACAGCAGGATCAAAAGCATTTCCTACGGCAACACTCAGTGTCACCAGCAGTAGTGGAAAACGCAGTAACATTTTCAATACAACCTTTAGCTCAAGGTAGGATGGCTCGCAACAATAGGAACCCTGAGAAATCAGCTGTTAAAAGCACTTGACTGGTATAAAAACGACGTTAGACTTACGAATGCTAACTGGAATGATCAGCGTGGAACTCTTGCCCAGTGTTCATGCTGTTATCGAGTGAAAACCAACTATTTTCGCGCCTTGCTTGTGTTGAATTAGCAAATGGAGAAGTGAGAAATAGAGGAATGTGTATGCAAATGTGATCTGCGAGGTTAAGAGATAATACCTATTTACATGGATACTTGGATGACTTGTCTTCACTGTTTGTGCGAGCCCCAGCATTATTTCCATTTTTTCGGAGTTTTGCTGATTTAGCCATTGTGGTTCCCTAGAGTCCCGAGGTTAGCGTAGCCAAAGTCTGCGCCAGGTCGTCATCACCACAGGCAATCGCCGCCTTTGTGGATCAGAGGGAGATTTGCACCATAGGATTAGTTTGATACTAGAAGGGTGGTGGAGCCTGGCACTGGTTTACTCTTAGCTGTGCTTCCTGATGGAAACGCCGGAATACTTCTCAGCCTAGGAGGCTCTTCTGGGGATGAATCCCTCCACTGTATATTGCAGCTCGACACCAAAGAGCACCTCACAGCCACGATAGGACGGCAAAAACTCGGGAGGAAAAGGTAATCAATCGTTAAAATGTCTACCGTTTAAGTGTTGCTCGACGTTGTTTGCTAAATTCATTACAGTTGAGCTATATATAGTCCATAAGTGGAAAGATATAGCATGGATCTTCTCAGTAAGGCCTGTTATTCTTTCGCGATATTTCTTGAGAAGTCCTCAACCCAACTAGCACATACTACCTTTCGTTTACACTACTATTTCACAATGATGATGAGTACATCAAGCAAACAAACCATTTGTTCGATCAAAGTTGTAAGTTAAGCAGTCCTTCATCCTTCGTTGGTAAATTGGAGGCTGAAGAATTTTGAATTGTTGGAGTTGGTTGGTCTTCAGAAGCTCGTGTACAGATCACCTTCATACTCGCTGCCTATGCAAATCGTTATGTGGAAGACGGATGAAGGAAACCATTTCCATAGGGTGACCACTTAAATAACGTTTGAACTCTGCTAGGTACCCTAACGCTAGGAGTGGAATTCTTCCACGGAATACATATGAAGTAAGACCATTGACTGAGGCAGAAGAAGAAATGCATAGACTTAAGCGGCTTCCTGATATACTAACTTAGTAAGATCTTGCGAAAAGCAACCGGATTCAGTTGCGATTGTGCCTATTTTATCTATGCTAAATCCTTGCAACGGTTTTACGCCTCATCGTGGCTGGGTGGTGTTCCTGAGAATCGGGCTACGATGTATAGCAGGGAGGATTCATCCCCCTGGCAGCGTTTCCCAAACTGATAATGAGTCCGGCGCTCCCACTAGGAAGCTAAGCTAAGAGTAAACCAGTACCAGGATCCACCACCGTCGTCGTACCAAATTACTTGCATGGTGGCAAATCTCTCTCTAACCCACAACGGCGGCGACCTTCTGTGTGGCAAAGACCTGGGGCAGTCTTTGCCCAGGCTGACCTCAGGATTCCAGGGAACCACAACGGCTTAACCAGCAAATCTCCGAAAAATGGAAATTGTGTTGGGGTCCACACAACCAGTGAAGACAGGCCATCAATTAAAAAACCAATTTTATAAAAACTAATTCTTTCCCAACTTTGGCGTGCATCCAAGTACATCAATTGTTGGGTTGTATTCAAAAATAACGAACTATAGATGGATATTTCCGTATGGATACCGTTCTTCCACATTTTGAAGAACTGGAAAGGGAATGACAGCAGAGGGCAGGATGAAGTGTTTACTGTTCCCATTTTAAGTATTGTTTCTTCTTTTAGATTTCAATGAAAGTTCAGAATGGTACTGAAATCAACGCCGAGATAAAATTTTATTTATAGAACGGTGAATTTTCATTCAAGGCATTGTGAATACTACGGAACCGCAATGACTTATCACAGGGATACTGAACAAATTGCACAGTGGGTAACAACGTAAAAGAATGAAAAACTTCAGAAGATAATGTCCCGCATCATGCAGGGATTGTGGAACAAAAAATAAATCCCACCACCGAATGTTATCAGAAGAACATTTGAGGACAAGTACTACCTCATCGTGGAAATTATGTCTAAATCACTATGCACATGACGTCAACAGACTAGAACGACAATAAACAGCTAGATACTTTTATCCAGCATTTAGACTTCGAACAAAACAACTCTCCATGTTTCTAATGACATAGAAGTCCGCGCTATTTTCTATTTTTCTGAACAACAACAGAAACAAAGAAAGCCAAGTCACCGAGTCCACTGGAAGCGAGTGGAGCAGCTTGGTAAGAAGTGACATCATGAGGTCGTTTTATTAGTTAGAATTTCAGCCAGTTCAAATCACCTTTTTAAAGAGAAGTTGGTTTCCGTCCCTTACCACTTCCCTCTTCTAACTCCTGAAGTCGTAATTCTAACTGAACTCTTACCTAAATGTAACAATAATCAGCCGACTTGGAACTAAATTTAGTCAGAAGGAATAACGAATAGCAAAGATCAACACGTGAAAGTACCTGAGCCATTCTCGCCCTTTCTGCTTCTAGTTCAGCATTTTGTGTCCGAAGACCTATATTTAGAAAAAAACTGTCAAACGAAACGAAAAATAAGTTTGACGTTATCACTGATCAGAAACCACTGGGAACAGAACAGGGATATCACACTGCTCAATTCTTTTCTACTGCCTTTTTTCCTTAAAGAATGCTATGTGAATGTAATTATGTGAAATTAGAGATACTTAGAGCAAGGGAATAAAACTCCCTAGTGACATGTGAAACAATGCCGGCAAGGTTTTCTAAAACTTTATATCCAACCATAGTTAGTTACTAAAAGTGTTAACGGGGCTCTAACAATATTCGCGGGTTTCATATTAACAGTTAATGTTCTGAGAAAGTGGCTTAAAATGATACTTAATAATGATGATGCTGAGACATTCGCAAAACTCCGGAACGCAGGTGTCTGCGATGGGAAACGAACGTGCCACTACCCTTTCCAGGAGTTAACGCGTTCACCACCACAGCATGCGAGTCTTTCGTTTCGCCTTTCTCTGAACCGTGTTATTGACCTATAACTCCTATCAGCAACCACTCGTCAAGGGACTCTCTGCGGAGCACAAATCGGAATTGCTTATACTTAATATACTTAATAATTATATACCTACTAATAAGACGCTTAATAATTGTACCTTCACATCGTCGAGCCCAACGTTCGACCCCTTCACCAACAGTTGCGCTTAACTCATCTCCAAGGAGGTCAGCGATTTGTGTGTCTACAATGGAAAGCTATGTCAGAAAGAGAAAAGTAACACGAAAAAGTCTTTCCATCTACTTATAGAAGATTAACGATTGATTTATGAAAAATGTACCAAAATCTGCGATAAATCGCTCTATCTCCGTGACATTCACATATCTACCGTCAGTTTGAATTTCAACAGTGCTCGTTTTCCTTGGAATCGGGGCTGGTGGAGACACCCGTTGTGGAACAGGAGGAGGTGCTGGTGGTATTACAGCTTCGAGAAAAGGTGAAGCGTTACAAGGAGAAACAAAATGAAAAGGCTACATTGAACTCAAACCTGATGCTAAAGAAATATCAACGGTTGTACTCGTAGAATCTGAAGGCCGACGATTCTCAGCAGACAGCATTCTAAGACAATTCAAAAGTAGTATTCATATTAAACATAAATGGAAAAAGTCGTCTAAAACATACCCTGTTTGTGTCAATTCGATGTGCTTCATCATATCTAGGCTAACACTCCTGATATGACCTCTTTGTTGAGGTCGAGGTGGAGGCTGTGGAGGAGGTCCAGAAGGTGATTTCAAGGCAAGAAGTGGAATGGCTAAACATTGAACGGAAAAAATGTGCAAAACAAAAAAAAACGATAAACGAAAAACAAATGAGAGCTACTCTGTTTCACAGCAGTAGGACGACTGTCGACTAACAACGGGGGGACATCAGAAAATTCAGCAAGATGAGTATCCTAAATATCGATAATACAGTGTCCAATACGAAGACAAAGAAAACTGATAACGTACCTTTTTATGTTGTTCAGTAGGATTTTGCAGCTCAAAATCAACAGTGTCAAACTGATCCCATGAGCGAGAAGAAGGTGGACCTGAAATCCTGTCCTATATGATGGAATGCTATCAAAAATCAACTCAGAAAAGGCATAGAGTGACGATAGAAGCCAGAAGTAGCACGTTGACAAAACCTAGCCCTTCCGTCTATACTTGTGGAACTCACCGTGGGGAGCCGAATGGGAAACAGATGGACTATTTGGTAACTGAGAACACATGCGTGGAGGAACGAATGGAGGACGGATGCAAGCAGGCAAGCACAGCGGCACCGGCACCTGACCCTACAAACAGGAATGAACCTAAGCAAGTGCACCGGCTTCGTTCTGAAAATCGGATAGAAAACTTATTGCTTTTCAAGGAAGCAACACTAAATATTTGATAATACCTTGACTTTCAGCACAATAAGGTGCATCGCTGTCGAAAATTCATTGACATCGAGCCATCCGTCCTCGTTAATGTCGGAAAGGCTCCAAATTCTGAATATCAACTCTTTTACATCATCATTGCGATTTGTCATTAAAAAGGACAAAGGATAAAGCTCTCGGCGTTGAGCAATCCTTAGGGATACGCCATACATTCTCCAATTAGCATTGTTTGGAGGTGACTGAAAATATATCTGGCCTTTACAATGACTTGCGTTGGCCTACCGATGTATCGAGCCAGTGCTGCTATCCTTCCAGACAAGTCTGGTACCAATTTTCCGACCCCGGAGGGATGGAAGGCTTGGTGGGCCACGGGCGCGGGAACGGATCCCATGTGTATATCACGGCGCCTCCGACCACTGCGCTACACGCACCATTGACTTGTCACCTATATAATAGTGCCAAAAGCACGAATGTATTCTAAGAGCAGCAGTCCACTTCATTACCTAAAGAAGGTGAACGAGTTTGAAAGAAAAGCGAAAGACGCAGACCTTGAAAGAGAATCATTGTCGAGGCCACTGCGTTTGAAAAACTCGACAATTCGTGAATCTCCACCATTAAGAGCACCCTGAAGGCTATTCTTCCCCTGAAACGTTTAGAATTCCAGAAATAATCCTCGAATTACGAGGATAAAACTGACCTGTGTGGTGTTCATCAGATGACGAAAACACTTCGAGTAGTACTCTCGTTGACGAGGAGACATTTCGAAGAGCGCATCGTGGCTCGTGTAGGCCTTACCCCTTAATCACATAAAGCACCACTTAGAGCCCAAGCCTATCGTAAACAGAAAAATTGGTTAATTTGTCACTGGAGTGCTAGACTACACCAAACATTCTCAAACTATCACAGATTCTAACCGCCGAGTCATTTCATATAATAACCCTAACCATAATCTCTATAACCATTTCACATAACCACACCCTGCCACGAAAAAAAGGCAGTAAAGAAAAGCCTAACAATGTTACAAGTTAATTCTGTTTCGCAAAAATACTTACACAAACGCAAAATGCTAATGTCGATTCTCATGGGAATACTAAAAAGAAAGTGTGTCACAATATTTCGTAGGCAAAGGCTTCTTTGAGGATAACTGTTTTTAGGGTTAAACAAGCCTTATGTTCACCAAATTACTAGTTTAAATAAAGTTCTGGACACATGAAAAAATAGAAGAGTTCAGCCAAAACTTAAAGAAAAGTGGGCAAACCCATGTATACACATGTATATATATATATACATATATATGTATATATACATATACGCATATATAATGTATAAATACATGATATACATAGACGTTATATATATACATATAAACATATGCATATATATATATATATATATATATATATATATATATAGTTTTTTATGGTAGGCTCGGAGGTTTTCCTGGGTGTCGGAATGCGATGTGTAGAGGAGGATTCGTCCACTGGCAGGGTGTCCCAAGCTGAGAAGTCCGTCATTTCCAACAGGAAACCCAGCTTAGAGTAAAACAATACCAGGATGCAACACAGTCCTGGTAACAAACTAGTCACATGATGGCAAATGCCCTTCCGATCCACAAGGGCTGTGACTGCATGTGGTGGTGGTGACGACCTGGGGCAGACTTTGGCCAGTCTGACCTCATTACTCCAGAGCAGCACAATGGCTAAACTAGCAAAATGCCGAAAAGTGGAGAATATGCCGGCGCCCGCGCAACCCGTGAAGATGGGCCGACCAAGTATCCAAGTGTGATGTATAGCCATATGCACACATATATGAGCATATATAAACAGATACATGGACTTGCATATGTATGTACTTGCTATATATAATCAAACATTCTTATATATATATAAAAGCGAAAGTAGAAGGTAACGGACCTTCGAGGACTCGCGATTATGTCTGCGACAGTTTTCGCGAAATCTCCATTCGCAAAGTAGAGGGGTCGACTCTCCGGGTCGGCCGCCATACGGTGCGCACACCTTGCAGGTAAGGTTCTCCCGTAACTGCTGACTACAGAGGTAAATGCGAGGCTCTAACTCTAAAAAAAGAAGTAACCAAGTCAGAGAATATAGAAATATGGTAGCCGGTAGCCAAAGAACAATTGGAAACATCACTCGATTTAATTAAGCAGCAAACGCGTTAATTAGCGAAACCCATTAAAGCAGTGACGGTTTCCGTCACTGTTTTTGCTAAAAATGCTAAGAATTTCGGAAGCATAGACGTAAAGTTCTCCAGACAACAGAAAGCGAATCGTGGGAGAACAGGGACTGGGACTTCGGATGGTGGCAACACGGCCTCGACAGCAGTGTGCGTTCGTCGGACAGGCAGAGGTTGAACGAGAATTGAAAGCGAATGCTTCGTGGAATAAACATCGCCTATAAATATCGAACGAGAACTTATCCCATAGGGTAATTGTATCACCTCTACTATTTGAGTACAAGACATTGTCGATTCGAACGCCTGATACAAAACCGTGGACCAATGCAAATCGCATGATGTGACGTCACTCGGCGAAAGTTGTGCTAAAAAAAGTTCGCGCCACATATGTTGAGCTCTCAAGGCATTGTGTTCCGGTCATGCCGTTGTCATCTCCATATTTTGCCATAGATTTATAAACGACATAGCAGATGGAGCAGTACACATCTTTGTTTCCGCGAAGGACTTGTCCTTAATCGTATTCAAAGCATTGGTTAGCAACGCACAACCTAAGTGTCCATTCTCTTCTGGAGGTCTTCTCCTCCACCAGGCTTATGTCTACCTCGTTGAATGGGGGTACTGTAGATGAAATGAGAGCGTACGAACATAGTGTCGTCGTCTGTGTAGAAGACAAGGTGCTAAGCGTTGCCTTAGAAAGCAACAACATGCTGAACTCGAAGAACGTGTGCGTAGAATTTCTTCTTAGATTATCCATACTGAGGCTAAATGACGGTCGACTTAAAAAAAACGTACGTATAATAGATATTAGAGGTGCTAGGCGGCGTTGCACTTTTCTGAAAGGCTCTATCCGAACGAGGGAGATTGGTATTAGCATTCGTGGCCTTCTCTGTTTTCTAGGTGACTAGAGCTGTAAGCAGTAGTAGTGTTGACGGTCGTTCAAGGTTTCGCCTGATATTGGAGTCGGCTATTACTGATTATCGTTTGGACATCACGACGTATTATTCCGTACGATTATCATCCACATGCACCATGGAATGGTGTTCTGGATTCACAACCGGCTGAAGTCGAAGGGTAAAAGTTCGTCGTGCAGTTTCTCCAGGGTATTAACTCCACAGTACGTATCGCCTATGTCATTACAAACGGTAGCAACCTCATTTCGTCTCTTGGTTTTCTTTTTGTTGGGGATAAAGGGGCGAATTAGCGATCAATAGTAGAAACGGGGTTTCTCAGGGTAGTGGTCGAGCCAGCAGCACAATCAGAACTAACCCAATTCGAGAGCATGGACGGAATATCGAATTCAGAGCAGGGGCGTGCGCTGAAACTAGTCGTTTGCTTAAAGTTTACAAATATCAGATGCAAAATAAATAAACCCATAGGGGGTTATACATACAGAAGTGCTTAATGTTCATGAGAGATGTACTATGCATTGAACTTCATTAGGTACCGTAGAGATGATTAGAACGCAAATTTAGCCTATAACCAACTTTTTATCCTCCAGGACAGGTTTGCTTCTAACTTTTTGCCGACTCCAAAAAGATGGAAGAGTTGCTTTACTCGAGAAGCTTGATCGAACCAAATACCTTGTGTTTGTTTCAGTACACCTCTAACCGCTATGCTCCGCACTGCTAAGCTTGCATTCGACTCGTTTCCTCACTGCCACCATCCATAAAAGTCTCCGAATTTTTTGTCCGAATTCGACTGCTGCTTGACGACTTTCATCTTTTTTAGGAATACCGTTGAATGTTGATCGGGTGGGTTCTTCCTGGAATCCTGACACCGTGCTAAGGCGTTCCCAAGCATTTTAGAGGAAGTGTGCTGACCCCATCTCACACACGCCTTCGACAAATTTCTCTACAACGAAGGATGGGCGGTTTGGCTGGCCCAGCACCGTGTAAAACCAAAGCCGTATGCATTGACATCGAGGGTCTTGAACGTATTTTAATGCAGAACTTGCAAATTCATCAATCATCGGAGGACTCGAGCGTGCGCAGGCGAGTGAAATCTGTTTTTGTCTTTCCTGTTTGGTCCCTGTTTGGGCACAATTGCTGGTTAGACCTGGACGAAGAATATATCGTTTCTCACATGAGACTCAACATTGCAAGGAATTTTGATGAGAAGGTAACCATTGATAGAATACTAAATTTTTCGTGTCTTCTGGTGCACTCATTAGTCGAAGAAATGTACTCATAGCAAGCATAATATCGTTTTTGTCCTCATCTAATCTTCTTTTTGCCACCTGCTGCGTGACACTCAGCCTCACAACTAATTGGCTTCATATCCTCTATTTCACCGACTACACTAAGAATTGAAAATTGGATTTAAGATATCGTAATACAATATAATATATTACACAATACATAATATGAATGCATTCTCGCTGATTATCCAAGCGACTGGTCGGCAAAATCGTTTTTGCAGGGGGGATGTACTCCTCAGGATATCAACTTCTCAGTCTCTTCTGCCTCTCCCCCTCTCTCTCCTTTCCCTCCCTCTCCATTCCTGTAGACGCCAACCCATCTCGGTACCTCAGGAAAAAAAGTGTTGCTGGATCAGGAAACCATAATGGGACAGAAATTGTACTCGATGACCACGTTTCGTTGTGAAGCTGAGGTCATTTGAAACGCATATGTTACTGAAATATCAACAAATTCCCTACAGAACTTGCTTTTCTGCCGGCTGGTGGTATCTTGTAACTTCTTTTTAAACCAGGATAGTTAAAAATCTAAGAACTTCGGAGGATTATAGAACGTTTATCCATCCGCGCTAGGGTTACATACAACATTTAAAGCAGTGTTTCAACCTTCCATTTCTTTAAGATTTAAACTTCCAAGCAGCCGTTTAGGAATAGCTCCTGTTCATAGGCAATTGGCCATGCAGTTGCGGAAACCGTAGCCACTGACGGTGCAACCGGTGGATTCCGCGTCATACTGGATTTTATCGCGCTTGCTCAATCGCTTTGTTGTTCGTTACACAAATGATGACGTAGAATAACGAAAAAAAAGCTCATCGTTTTCGGTATGAAGGAATTTCATTGCAGTGAAATTGCAAAACTCTTATTCTACTTATCCTAACAGCCAAGCTTTGTTGGTTAGACATCTCGAATGATTCGTTTCGTCATTCTATGAGTACATACATGAGTACTGAAGCGATTCCCAGTTTAATCTGTGGCCGACGGGCTTTTTTGGTCAAAAGAGACGGTAGTACAGCTTCCCCAGTGTAATGAAAATACTGCAGCGGCTTTTGCCTAATTTTGGGTTAGGTTCACTACATCCTCACACCAACCGAATAGTCGCGGCATCAAACGACCATCATGGTCAGATACAAGTTTCCTCGATAAAGAAGAATTCTAGTCTTTTATGTGCTCTCTTCTCCTTAGTTCCACTATGTGGATTTCTATTATTTCAACGAAACTAGGGAATGGGCAGCACAGGAGTAATGGTCGCATTCATTGTGCCGACGGTCCAGTCTACTCAGGTGCTTCGATCCTGCTCTAGGCCCACCAGGCCTTACTTCTTTGGGGTCTCAAAATTGATACCAGACATGCTAGAAGTAGCTCACTCTCCATAATCCATGTGGGAGCGCTCTAGAACAGCTATGTCACTATTCCAGGGAAAATCGATTCAACTATCACTCAACGAAATTCATAATGAAGACGAAATAATCATCAAGTAGGAGCCGAAGCCACACGCAAAAAAGTTCGAAAGCCTTCATGGATGATGGTTGCGAGAAAACGAATCCAACGTAAGAATTCCCAAAATCCTACAGTATGAAACACGTGATCTTGAGTCATGTAACAAATTATTAAATAGATAAAATGATAAGATTTCCATTCATTTTCACTTAGCGCAAAGTAGATGAGATCAGCTTGGTCCTCATGGAATGCGAATTCTGCGTTATGGTGATGTGAATTGGTGATATAACATAGTGTTGATCGCCTGTTGCCAGATGGCCAGTTGAGGAAAGTGACCTCATAAAAGTACGCGATGTAAAGCAGGTGTTGGACTCACGGGAACATCTTCAACCTCATGGTTTCGTTACGGATTACACTAGTAGCTTACTCGATGAGTGGATATGTGAATATGTTTCTTCTTGGTTGTCAACAAAGCTACGTGAACTATCATGCTTTTTCGTTCTTGAGGATATTCACCTCCACCACAAGTTAGGGTGTAATTTTCTTCAAGAAATGTGTGCACATCATCGTAAAGCCTTGTAGAAATGGTTTTACAATGTTTTGATAGGACAGTCGCAATAAATTGCACATCCGTACATCCGTCATTGTACATCCGCTGTTGTCTTTCAGGACTTTTGATGTTCTCCCCTATCGAAAGGTCGTCATTCTTTATCATCTTCTTGATTATTATTAGTCGTTGGATAAGTAGAAGCCAAGGAAATGTGTGAGGTACTGACCGGTTTCAACACTGGTTGCATAATACTCTATAATAGTAAGGCTTCAGCATAGGGAAGTTCCCATAATAGATATGACAG